AACATCATATAATGTGTGATATAATTCGATAATTGTATACATCAAAGTCAAACGACTCTAATTCTATGTTAGATATTTAGCATTTTGATTATAAAAAACACCATTATGTATAGTTTATACTACACACATATATAATGGGTACACTACTAGAAAACTGCCTTACAGTGACACTTCGTTAGTGATACTATTCGATTTAGTGTCAGAAACTGACGACATAACTGAAAGTTTACACATAAGTATCACTAATTTCTGACACAATAACATCACCACTTAATAGTGACACTCAAGGTGAAAAAACGGGGTCATGTTCATAATTTATGGGAAAAAAAATTGAAGAAGGGTTTATTTTATAAATTTTAACCCTACTAACCCTTCACACTTCCCAGGAGCGCAGCTAACTCACACTTCACAGGAGGGCAGCTCACTCTCAAGAATCTTAGACCGAGAAGCTCCTCCTTCTCTCTTATTCGTTCGCATTTTTCTTAATCCCAATGCCTGAGCGACAGCGATGCCGCCGGTGGAGGGTCACAAACCGGCGACCCATACTAGAGTGACCTACGCTAAGATGGACACCCTCCATGGCCGGCGCGTACATCTTCAGCCATGTCTCTTCTCCGACGTAAACTTTCTGGGTCTCCCAGCCAAGAAGCCAGGTAGATACAAAGGCTTCCCATCATTTTCGTTGTCTGAAAACGATGTCCAGGTTATCTCTTCCAACTTCCGTTTTGCTCTTGTTGGAACTTTCCCAAAACGAAAAGCTCTGGAAGCTATAGGGTTTACTCACCCATATTCCGTAATTCGTAGGGCTTCTTCAATCGAACAGAATTGTGATTAATTTCCTTTCAGATTACAATTTTCAGCGATTTTGGTTAAAGAAAATATAATTTGGGATTTTTATGGGTGTTCAATGACTGTTAGCAGATGGACCCGTCTTTTTCTATTGAACGCGACTCTCCCTTTAGCTATGAAAATATTCCTGTTTAATGCACTAAGTGTTCTAGGTTCGACCATTAACCTCAAAATGTCCTAGGGCTAAATCAAATTTGGCTGAGGTGAACTGTGATGTGGGCAAAACAGCTGCAGGTGATCATAAATGTGACCCTGCTACACAAGTCAAAACAGGTCAGGTAGACCATGTTGCCCCTGTTAATTGTACTACTGCTGTAGCCCCTAATGAAAGTGTTGACAATGATGATATACTGGTTAACACCAGTACTGAAAAATTTTCTGTTAAGGGCCCAATAACAGCCCCCTCTAAGTGTGATATCATCTAAGTAATGTGTGATGCCTCTCGCGTTTGTGCTATTCCAGAACCCCCCCCCCCCCCCCCCCCCCTAAAGATGTTGCCCGTGCAGCTTATCCCCCTCTTACTAATGATATTTGTTATGAGGCCTGTGATCACCCAGCTGTCCAACTTCCTGGTGCCTATGATGAAAATCTGAGGCTGCAGCCCCTTTTGATCGAGAAGCAAACTATTGTGGCAGCTTCAAGGTCCATAAACAATGAAGGCCCTTATAATAGTTCAAATGATACCCAAATTGTAAATGTTCAATCTGCCAATCTTGTAGCCACAGTAGCCCCAACAAATTGTAACATGAATTGTGTAACTATTCTTGAGAAGGAAACGACGGATACCTCTGCTCGCCAATGCCACGGTGCCTTCAAACATGATGAACCCCCGGTGGCTACCTGTAACAAGGCGGTAACTGGGAAAGTAGCTCATGATCCGATTACGTGTGTCCAAACTGGAAATGAAGATCTTCTTTCTAATCCTAGCACTTCAGATATTACACCGGCCCCAAAACTGTCCTGTGATGAAATCATTTCTGAGGATAGTCTACGTTTAACTCTTTCTGTTTCAGGTAATAAACTAATCCCACCTGCGAGAGTTTTTAATTTAAGAGGTTCAGTAGGTCCACAAAAACTCTCATTCTCACATTTTTTTGCTTATACTTGACAGTGGAGATGCCAAGTGTACTGCTTATGGCAGCTGTATGCAATGTCCAAATTGTATGATTTTAGTTATTATTATAACATATCCTAGCTTATTAGTAATTTAGTATTAACTTCTGGTTTTCTTATTCCAATTTTGTAATGCTTAAACAGTGACGTGTATTGGTTGCTTTTCAAGCAAGGCCAACAATTTATCAAGTGGTGAAGGACTGATTAAGAAAATGGGCTATCATTTTGTTATTCTGCCATTTTAAGGCATGATATGTTATTCATGCTTGTTTTATTTGCCTTTGAAGATAAATTACATGTAAAATTTGACATTTTCTATGAACTCCATAGTATCCTATTGTGCCCATATATGTGTTTTAATTGTGTGTATCCTGTTATGCCAAATTCCAAACAGATTGCTCCCACCTTAGCTTGCAGTTCATGGTGTTCATTGTCGGGTAGTTTTTGTTCTCGTTAAGCCAAAATTTCATAGAAATAACTTATGCCAATTCTTTTGACTTTTTTAATGGGCGGCTCTAAGAAAAAGATTAAAAATCTGACAGTGAAGGAACAACCGGTGCAACGATACAATTGCTGTATGTCTGCTCAGAAGCTACGGAAGGAAGAGTGAACTCGGAGCTGTCACTTCTTGCCGTAAAGGCCATAGAAATGACCTTATTGATGGTTTGTTTCCCACTGGTTTTCTCTTACACCCTCTATCTCTATCTCCAATTATTTGGTTTCTCTCTTGCACTCTTTGTCTATGTCTCATGCATTGTACTTTTTCTTTACTAAATTCTCTATTATCACAGGTGATAATGAAGTTATCTTTTTGAAAATTTCTCCAACTTTGTATTTTGTTATTGTTGGATCTCAATGGTGTAATGCAGGGACAAATGGATTTGAATGGGGAAAGGGAGCACGTACCGTTGATTACATCCAAACAATTCAGCTGTTGGGGCTTGGCACTTAAAGACTGTTTTATGTCTTGTAGACCTCGTTTTAGCTCAATTCTAGCTATAAATTTAACTCATTTTTTATTCTTTTGAGTTGTACTTAATTACATTTATGGTTTCCGGGGTATGCCTCTATGAATCATGTACAATCATATGAAATATTGAGATATAAATAAAAATGTTTGAGTTGTACTTCATTACATTTATGGTTTCCGGGGTATGCTCCTATATAGACCCAATAAACAAAACCAACCAAGTGACATTGAAGTATCATAAAAATCTATGATGGTGAAAGTGTTATAAAAACTTATGATGCTGAAAGTGTTATAAAAATCTATGATGCTAAAGTGTCATTAAATTGTGTGATGTATTAATGTCACAATGTGTTCTTGATGCATAAATGTCGCTATTTTAGACGATAAATTAGTGTCATTATTTGCTGACACAAAACCTCCCCGCATCAGTGACATTTTTTAGTGTTGCTAGCCGCCACTTTCCCCGACGCTTTTTAAGTGTCGCAGAAAGTTTCAGCGACACTAAATTAGTGTCAATATAGGCCTTTTTTCTACTAGTGCTACGTTGATGAACACACACATACTAGATAATTGATTTTGTTTATGTATAAATGAATATATTTCATTATTCTTTGAATCAAATACATAATTATTTGTATTCATATTTATATTCTATATTTTCAAATTCAAATCATAATTTAGGAATCGAAATCATGAATCGAATTAAAACTATTTGTTTTTACAACCCTCACTACTTATGATATTTCTGATTTATTATAAATTGGTTTAGAATGTGTATTATGTAATGTATATATAAGCAACACTTTGATTTATACTCCCTCAGATTCAAATTTATTTGCAAACTGAACATTTTTTAGTTAACTAATGTTAAAGTTAAGTCATCCATATTAGTAATTAGTTCAATTTTAATAGTTAAAATTTTCTATATTCAGAAACTACATTAAATTTCTATAAAATTGTAAAATCCAAATTAGAGTATGATTAGATATTGATATTTAAATTAAGTGAATAAAATGAAATTGTTTGACCAAACAAAATTAACTTTGTAAATCAATTTGGGGCGGATGTAGATATATAATAATAGCCTAATAGGAGGGTAAAGCGATAAACTATTGGAGAGTTGGATCGGAGTTAAAACACTATTGTTTTAAATCTGAAAATTATTAGTTTTGACTTTGTAAACCGCCAAAATTAATGTTTGGTAAATGGATGATTGATTTAGATTATTGGATCCGATAAGCTGAAATCTAAAACGTTGCCTACCCCAATGTTTAGCATCAGTATTTTCATTTTTCCTTTATTTGTCCTAAAGAAATTCTTCCGCCGGCTTCTTTAAATTCTCAAACAAAATTTGATAAGTGATTTGATATGCCTGTACGTGTACCTAATGCAAATAGCACTCTGTATGTATTAAGGCTATATTGACATTTGCAACTGTGATTTCAATAGGGAGGTTATTAACGTTCTCACAAAAAAAATAATTAATCATAACAAATTTTATTTTATTTTACTTTGTTTTATTTGTCATGTAGTTGTATTTATCACTTTTTTAATTTTCTAAAATACGAGTGATTTGTACTCTATAATTAATATTTAATTGTAAGTAACATTGTTTTATAAGCAATAGTTAAAAAATGTCCTTATAAGTCTTTTTACACTCAAACAGTTAATTTGGAGCAACTAATTTACCAAACAATTTTTTACAATAAGCTCACATAATCAACCAACCAAAACAGCAAACAAAACCAGTTATTCTCAAACCGCTATCATAATCGGCTAATACTAACGGCTGATTACCAAACAAAACCATTATCAAATTCATACCGCACTTTAATTTCATTATCACTTTGAAAGGGCTTTCAGGTTGTAATTCTTGAAATGAAGAGACTATTCAAATGCCTTTTAAAAGTGATGATATATTTGAGGTATTTTAAACATATCGCGAGATGTGTGCATTCTAACTCATAAATTTCCAACAATACAACTCAATCTCTAATTAGAGCTTAAAATGTTTGAAGCAACTGATTTATTACGCAACTCAAAATAGGATAGCTAAGATAAATCACAAAAATGTAATGGGAACTTGAGAACTTAGTGTAAAATTGACAACCCATCCATTAAATTTCCCCAAGAACAAAATGCATTTTGCATTAATGGAGGGTGGCATGGCAAAATCAACAAACTAAGTTTTACAAAATGTCCCATACAGGTCTTCTTCATCTACTAACTTTCAAGATCAAAGAGAACTTCTTGACTCATTATAGAACATAAGCTCAATTGATAGGAAGTAATTTAAAATTAATCAGTTTCGGTTCAAACTCATTTACTCCGATCAAAACTTCAACGATCGAAGATCTCAATGTTCACATCTCGAGACTTCATTTCTTCCGTCTAACAACCCTTGCCCGCAAGGCACTTTGTTGCACGGTAGAGGATCTCAATCCCTCAGCGGCCTCAAGAGAGGGGTCTAAACTCTACATAGGTACAACAGCCAGATTCTATAGACTAAATTGTAATTATAGTTTCATTTCATCAAACAATTTATCTACAATTTCCCAGGTTACCCGTATGGGTCCAAAACTTTGTACGGATTATTACCTCAAACCTTGAGTCAACAAATAAATAAAATATCTCTGATGTATTAAAAAAAAATACACCATATTCTCTGGTATCTCGATCTACTCCATCAAGAAACTAACCTTTACTAAAAAGAGCATGAAACAGAGCTTGATCTGGGCAAAGAAGAAGAAGAAGAATTCAAGAACTCGATGCAATCTTCAATGGCCTCTGCTCTCTGGGAATCAGCGAGCAGGGTTTCTGCATAAGACCGTGACCTTGCAAAGCTAGCTGAAGATATTTTCCGGGACGACCTCTTCCGGTTAGAACACGAGACGGAGCGTATGGCTTTTGACACCTTCGCCCCTAAATGCTTCATAAATCTTGCCGGCGTTAAAAGTGACGGCTTCTGAGGGATTCTGAAGCTCCAAGCAGGGAATACCTTCCTGTTTCTGCCGCCCTTTTCCTCATATTTTCCCTCCGCCGGCTGGATGAATATTACTCTGCTCATTTTGGGATCAGAGGAGGTTAGAGATGATTAAAAGAAGGTATCTGTTGACAATTTATGGGAGGGAAAGAAGAATAAGACATCACTAGTGACTGTACAAACATATTGAATTACTATTGACTAAAGTCAAATTTTAAAACAAACTCCTTCCGTTCCAAATAAATTTTCATTTTCCCTTTTTGGTAAAGAATTTGTGATTCACAACATTTCTTACACATTTCTCTCTCCTTTGCACAACTTTCCACCACACAATATCCACTTTTCTTAAATTGTGTGCCAAAGTGAAATGGAAGATATAATAGGAACGGAGGGAGTATTGAAGTACTATTAACGCTAGAATTGATTGGACGAGACATAATCGGCTAAAATTGATAAAATTTTAATTTAAGCAGCTGAATTTCTGAATTATTGAGTTATGAAAAAGTTATATTTAAAATAGGAGTACTTCGTATCATATACATAAAGTAAAGAAAAAGTTATTTCAGAAATAGCTAAAATGACCGTGTGATGTAACTTCAGTTAATTCAATCAGAAAAATAATTTTAATTTTATATATTTTGATTATTATACAATGTAGGAACGAAATAAAAAGTTATGTATTTAATTAAGAAATGACTCATAAAATAGTTACAAAACGGATTCTAGATCAAATAGTATTTATTCCATTAATATATATAATCCTATCTTGCGAAAGGTGAGAAAATTACACATCAATTTGTTTTATTAAAATTTCAATGCTCTAACTTATTGATAATTTAAAGTGTCATTAATTAGTTGAAATAAAAATGGCTAATTATGTCTCCAAGTTGGGTGGATTAATTAATTCTGCTAATTTATGAAAACATTATAATTAAAATACATTTTATTAGTAAAATATAGAAAAGTTATAAGAAAAACAACTAATTAATACATATCTGAAAAAATATGAAAAAGTTATATTTTAGTTCATTTCATATCTGTTTGAACCTAACTAGCTAATATATATTTTACTTTATTTTTTATAAAGTAGAGACACCATTAGTTCATAACCAAGGAGGATGGGCTATGCCGCTGTAGTTATGAATAATACTATCTACATCATTCCCCGTAATTGAATTTCAATTTTGACTTTTACGTTAAGCTTCTAGACGAAGTTGAACCCAAAATATCTAAAAATGAATTCTTTTGTGAAATTTATAATAAATTAACATTTAAATAATGAAATACGTAGTATATGAAACTAATTTATGTGATAAAGACAAAGTAATGCAACTTTTGAATAATTAACAGATTAAAGATTATAAAATTGATTGGAAATATCATATTTAAAATTTCATTGGCGACCCATTTAATAATGTTATCTCTGTCACATTTGGATTATTTATTTTTTTACTTTATTATCTCAAAACGAATGTCATTTTCCTTTCTTGGTTCTCTTACCCTTCATTGTCACGTATCATTGGAACTTATTTTACTCAATTATCAATCTTAACTTATACTTTTTAACCACATTATTAATAATCGTACCAAATCAAAATAAGACATTTTAGGTAGTAATTATGAGATAGCTTTGGACTCATTAGGAGTGGTGACACCACAAACACCCACACACTTAATAAACAAATGAGTACTATGTTAGTTATAGTTGAGGATTATGTATGGTTTTTATTGAACTGAAGTTTCTGGTTTAGTTTAGTCTGATTTATTTAGGATTAGTCTTGATTTTATCAAGTAGATGTATGTTCTATATGTATTTTGCAGTTGTCGGAGTCTAGTTTAATCTGATTTTTTCTATTTGTTTAGGTTTGATCTGATATAATGTGATTTGAAACTGAACAATCCCATTAATGTCTTATTTAATTCATACCCCTGCACATGCAAACCACCTAGGGTAATCACACGTGGTAATTTTTGTGAATGTCGCTTTGAAAGAAGAAAAAATTACATATTTAATATTAAAACAATGATTGTTTACAAAATGTAACTAGTGATTCGAGTAGTAATGAAATAGCTTATGTTTAAGTTTTAAATTTAAGTTGACACGACACTGTAACTATTAGTTGTGCAAAATACATATTTAAAATACTGGTAAGGCATTATATGGAAAAGCAACAATGTCATGATTAATGGCATATTATTTTTATATGTGCGTGGTAAGTGGTAACCAATTAACCATCTACTTCCATGATTGGTATAAGACTATTAGTACATTATTAGACTATATTGTAAAGTGTTTCCTTTCGAAAAAACATCGTAAAATGTGCTTTGATGTTAGTCATGTTACAACAACAGTGATTAATAATGTATTAATCGCCTTCAATAATTTAAACTAATTTAATGACGGCTGTGACTCCCTGTGAGTATAATAAACATGAATACATGATTGCACTCGATTTCCGAAAAAATGGATAAAATTAAACATGCGCGGGTTGCAATCATAAGGTTGCACAAAAATGCATATCAATTCTATTGTTTTCCGGTGGAAAACTCGGAGAGATCCTTTTTACATCATGGATCCATCCATATTTTACTATGTATTTTTATGTTCCATTTTGAATTACAATTTCTCTATTCCCCTAATCAAGTAAATTTATCTAAATTCTTAAATGAGTACGTATTATAGATTTATAGTAATAATTGATGTGAAAAAATATTACAAATTTAATCCCATATGAAGGTTCTCACTTTCTGTTTTGGATATTCCATGTAATTAAAGGTTCATATTTCTATTTTAGAAAACAATTAACACTTTTAAATGATAACTTAATAACCAAATATTAAAAATAATACATCTATAACAACACAGTTATCACCATTAACCATGTTATATTAAATATCTATCAAAATTATTTCTCAAATTATACTTGAATTACCTTATTTAGTTATTATTTAAATAATTTTGTAATTTTGTCATGTTATATTACCTTCTTCTCATAAAGAGTGACAAATTAAAGTTATGCATGAAATAAGAAATACATAGTATAAAATTAAAATTGTATGATTAAAATTTATGCATGTGAGAAATAAATAAATAGGTTTACGTTTTATTTACCAAATGTAAAATAACAAAGTTTATGTGACAAGCAAGAAATGAAACTTGATAACGTCCAATAGAATTAAGGAAATACTTTACTATACCCGCACGAGTAGCTCAGTTGGTTGAGTGGAGGAAATTTGGACCAGGGCAACCATACTTCGAATCCCACAACGATCGTGTGGAGGTTACAACCTCTGAAATGCGTTGGACCTCTGGCGCGCACGGGTATATGGGCGTACTGTCACTTCGCTGATTAAGTCACTGTGGTTTACATCCTCCCACGTGCCCTGTCGAGTTAGGGTGTGGGGGCTTCGGGGTGGGAGATTCCACCTTTTGGATAAGAGGAAATACTTTACTCGCATGAACATGTAAGATATTGGTATTTGGAATTGATTCTACTTATGCTTCTTTTTTTAAAGTAAAAGGAGAATCATAATTAGTTTTTTAGAAGATAATCCCCCTCAACTTCTAAAACATTGATTCTAAGAACAATTTAGAGTAGCCATAAGTATTTTTGCATTTTCATTCAAACACTCCAATATCTTCTCCTTCACGGGCACAGTTTGATCTAAACGTCCTCTTAGTCACACATGTGAAATTTGGAATAAAGGAAAATACTCTAATGATTAGTACGTATATAAATATACTCCTATTTGAGAGAAATACCTGTACATAAAGTTTGGAGATTTATAACATGAAGAAGAAGGATAGATTTGGTCAAAAAAGGAGAAAGTAATTGTGGGCCTCCAAGTGAAAAGGAGTGGGACAAAGCGGAGGAGAATGAATTAAGGGAGATGGTGAAAGGGAAAGAAGAGAAGACTATGGCGACAAAACGACAAGAAATGAAATGATGAGTGATGACCATTCTCTTCTTCTTTAGTTTGCTTTAGAGAAAATGTTCCCTCTACCGCCCTACACTCTACACTACTACGTACAATTTTTAGATAAGCCATGGTTGCCCCATTTTCAATGAGGCATATGTTGATAAAATCTCAATTCGATCACACATCATATACTCTTTCCTATTTTATCTTCCAAATAGGTTTGACACACGGTTTAAGATAGTGGTATTATGTGGTGGAGAGTTGTGCACAAGAGAGAGAAATATGTAAGAAATGTTGTGAACCACAAATTCTTTACTAAAAAGGGAAAATAGAAGTTTTAATTGGAACGGACGAAAAAAGGAAAGTTGGAAGTTTTAATAGGAACGGAGGGAGTAAAAGATAATGACATTTCGATTTTAAATTTTATCACACATCTTTATAACTTTACCAACTTTTCTTTTTTGAATGTTTCATTAACTTTATCACTTTCCCTTTTAAATAAAGAATTTGTGATTTCAGTTAATTCTCTCTCCTTTTCACAAACCTCAATCACAGAGTTTTTACTTTATTAATTTCCGTACCGGTCAAACTTGGCAAAGTTATAAGGGATGGAGGGAGTTTGTTTTACTTTTAAAATAAATAAAATAATTAAAATAAGGGAAGAACACACTTTTAGTCTCTGAAATAGTCACCATATTGAAATATCAGACTCATATTTCTGAAATTGTAAACGTCACTTCTCAATTATCCAAACTGCCATGACTGTAACCTTTTAAGGGATGAAATGTATTCTCCATCCACATCGTACATTTCACCCTCAAAGGACCACACCTCCAGCAATTGGAACAATTGAGGGTGACATTACAAATTGGGGTACACGAGTGAATACGATGACTATTTCAAGGACTACAAGTGCGATTTCTCTTGAAATAAAGATAGTAGGTTGAAGTTTGACCGGCCTCTTAGATAGTTAGATGTACTAATTGCAATATTAGTTTTTAAAAACTATTTTTATCTTTAATAATTTGTACGCATAGATGATCACGCCATTGTACGCATAGCGAATTTAGCCATACATTTATCACTGAGTTTTATTTAAATACTACGTAATATTTTAGGGGGAAATCTCTTTAAAATTCCAATTTGTGTATCAAAATTCTATATTATTTGGGTTCAGTTTTTACGATTCAATTTAATGAAATAT